CTCTCTCTCTCTCTCTTCTCTCTCTCTCTCTCTCTCTCTCTCTCTCTCTCTCTCTCTCTCTCTCTCTCTCTCTCTCTCTCTCTCTCTCTCTCTCTAACTAACTAACCCACTTACCTTGGCGCTGGCGGGTGACGCACGATGGCGGGCGTTGGTGGACGTTGGCAGGCGTTGGCGGGGTCGTCGGAGGTGCCGTCGATGTTCGCACATGGGCGAAGGGAGGCGTTGGGCAGGGTAAAGGGGGTGACTCACGTGGGGGAGGGAACGAGGGCCGGTAGTTCCCGCCCTCACGGATTTCAAATCGCGGCCCGTCTGGGCCATCGATCTCCAAGATGGATGGCGCAGATCGGCCCTGATTTCAAAATGTTGAAATCGGGCCTACCGGCCCCCATTTTTTTTTCCATTGGCCTGGACGACCTCCTGTGGGGGCAAAAAGCCCCCCCCCGCCGAAATCGGCCGAACCTCCCCCCCCTTCTGTGATGCGCTGAGGTTGCGCGGTGGCCAACTGGGCGGGACAACCTGCCAGGTGGCCCGGCCCCCCCTCCTGGCGATGACCAGACCGCCGGGCGGCCCGGTGACCAGCCTGGTATGTATATATATCATATTATTATTATTTTTTTTTTTTTTTTCAAAAAAACAGAACCTTATGGTTTCGGCTGCTTTTCCATTCTGGGGAGCATCAGTCCGGTTCCTATTCCACCGGCAAGTCAGAAAGGATTACAACATGTATTCACTGACACTCCTCCCCCTCATGGTGTGGTGGCCCCAAGGACGGCATTGATTACTTCCCGATGGAAGGATGTACCACCCTTCACCCCTGCCTAATTTAACCTGTACTACTGAGATTCTGCTCTTATTCTGTAATTGGTGCTAAGACCCTGAACCCTCGCTAGATGTCTCCTTGTCTGTAGCCTGTCCCCGGCAGTCTTATGGTGTGAAGGACCGAAGGACGCCATTGATTACTTCCTGTGGGAAGGATGTACCATCCTTCTCCCCTGCCTACATTAGGCTGATTCAAGCACTCTAGAATTGTGGTGCGTCTTCATTATACTGCCCTGCGAAGCTCTACTTGTGGTCTGGCTACAGAGCTGTGTCTAGCTTGTCCCTCTCAGTTGCCTAGCTGTCGGGTTTGCGTGGATTGCTGGGACGGCTAGAGCAGTTCTTGTCTGTGTGCTTCGCTGAAAGTGAAATCCTGCAGTCCGCGGTCTGTAGTAGCCGTAGACTTAGGTCCTGCATTTTTGTTCTAAATTCTAGTCATGGGCTAGTGTTCTGTATAGTTGCTGGTGCCGATCTTACTATCCGCTGCTATATAGGATTTGCTTGGATCCTAAGTTCTACTTTCTGGACTGACCTAGTTGGCCCCCTACCCTCTGTGTGTCCTTATTACCGTCTGGTGTCTGTTCGGGCTTATGTTGAGTGGAGGCAGGATGTGAAGTGGTGATACTAGGATCCTAATGGGAGAGTGAGGTGATAGGTTTTAAGGAGGGGTACGAGGGGTGTGAAATTGAAGATGGATGGGGGGTGGTAGATATGGTGGGATGTCCAGGCTGATGTAAGATAGAGCGAGAGGTTGGAGAGGGGAGATTTAGGAACTAGTCGAGAGGGGAGAGGGGAAAGTTGGTTCTGAGGTCAAGGAGGGGAGGATGGGGTTTTGGGGGAGGAGGGGTTGAGAGTGAAGTGGAGTGGGGGCTGTGGGAGGAGAGTGTCTTGGTTGGTTGGGGTGATGCGCAGTGTGGGCGTCGGAGTCAAGGGACGGGTTTGCCAGCGGTGTTGGTGAGGGGTGAGATGGAGTCGCATTCTGCAAGGGTGTGAGGGTTAGCCAGTTTTTGAGGGTTGGATAGGCAGACAACTACAGACAGGCAGACAGACAAAGGCAGTGGACAGATAGGTCAACAAATCCAGAGGCACCCACGCAGACATAGGCAGACATAGGTAGACATAGGCAGACATAGGCAGACATAGGCATACATAGGCAGACATAGGCAGACACAGGCAGACATAGGCATACATAGGCAGAAACAGGCAGACATAGGCAAATATAGGCAGGCATAGGCAGACATAGCCAGATAGACAGACATATCTCAGGACATAGGCAGACAACGTCAGACAGGCAGACTGACAAAGGCAGTGGACAGATAGGTCAGCAAACATCCACAGGCACCCAGGACGACATAGCCACACATAGCCACACATAGGCACACATAGCCAGACACAGCCAGACACAGCCAGACATAGCCAGACACAGCCAGACATAGCCAGACACAGCCAGACATAGCCAGACATAGCCAGACAGCACCAGGCATAGCCAGACATAGCCAGACATAGCCAGACATAGCCAGACATAGCCAGACATAGCCAGACATAGCCAGAGAGACAGAAAGATCTCAAGACATAGGCGGACAACTTACGAACAGACAGACAGACAATGCCCGTGGAGTCGTGGACAGATAGGGCGACAAACTACCACAGGCACCCAGGCAGACAAAGGCAGACATAGGCAGACATACACAGACATAGGAAGGCATAGGCAGACATAGGCAGACATAGGCAGACATAGGCATCTAGACAGACATGTGAAGACATAGGGAGACAACTATAGACTGCCAGTGTAGCATATCAGAAAGTGAAATGCACTGACAGCCTAGGATCTAGCAACGACGAAAGTGGCAAGCAACCAGCAGCATAGGTGCAGCATTCACAAGATGTCAATGTGCACGATGCAAAGAGCAACCCAACGAGAAATCAACAACAACACATTCGTATCATTATCATCATGGGCTGTGAAGCAGCGCAGCGGAATATCTAGTAACCAAAGGACACGTGAACAGACAGACACGGATAAACTTCGGAAGGGCAAGACATCAGAAAGATTGCCCTTCCGCTCACACACATGGGGAGAGATCCATAGACATGCGAGATAGAGAGCGGGGAGACATA